GCCGAGTTTGTGGCGGCGCGCCGCGCCGACGGTCTGGCCGCCTTTGCGGCCGTCGTCAGCGTGGGCGGCGACGGCACGCTCAGCGAGATCGTGCGGGGGCTGTGCGCGGCCTGCCCGAGGGGCGCGGGCGCGCCGCCGCCGCCGCTCGCAGTCGTGCCGGCCGGGTCTGGAAATGCCGTGGCCGCCAGCTTGGGGCTGCCGTCCGTCGAGCACGCCGCGCTCAACGTCGTCCACGCGCTCAGGAGGGGCCGCGCCGGGAGGCCCATGGCCGTCCTGAGGTATCAGGCCGGCGGGAGGGAGAGGGTCGCCGTCGGCGGCGTGCAGTGGGGCTTCACGGCGGATGTCGACCAGGGGACGGAGCCGATTCGCTTTCTGGGCGGCCTGCGCTTTGAGCTGGGCGCGGTGTGGGGCATTCTGAGGAGGAGGGTTGTGCGCGGGAGGATGCGCATTGCGGTTGATGAGGGGAAGCAGGAGACAGTTGTGAGGGAGATTGAGGGGAAGAGGAAGGCCGCGGGGAAGGGGCCGCTGAAAGGCATGGGAGAGTGCGTGGGGGGAGAGTATGTGTTGGAGGGCGGCTTCGCCATGGTCGTAGCGTGGAACTCCCACTTTGTCGGCGAAGGTTTTCAGCTGCTGCCCGAGGCGAGCCTCACGGAGACCGGCGTGTTTGACGTCGTCGTCGTGCGGGAGGGAATGGGGCGGGCGGACATGGTTCGCATGTTGATGTCCGCTGAGGATGGCTCATTTCTGTATAAGGTCGATGGTGTCCAGTACTACAAGGCCACTAGGTTGGAGTTTGAGCATTTGGACGGTGACTATTTGACTGTCGATGGAGACAGCGTCCCCGTCGAGCCATTTGTCTTGGATATGGCCGACCAGGACGGCCGCTTGACCATCTTGGACTCGTTTTCGGATGATGCAGTGGCCACGGGTACACCGTAAGCGTCGTCACCGCGCCGGTGGGGCAACGTTTTGGTACGTACGGAGTGCCTTACGTTATGAATGTTGGTGTCACCTTTGTAAATAGACGCTCCGTGTTCTCCGCAAGCGTTTGGCGTACGGCAGCAACGTCGACGCCCTTGACCTCCGCGATAATCTCGGCCGCCCTGACAAGATTAGCCGGCTCATTGCGCTCCCCCCGGCTCGGTGCGAGTGCTGGGGCATCGCTCTCTAGCAGCAGCCTCTCGGTAGGGACGCGGCGGACGAGCTTTCGCAGCTGGTCGTCCCTGACGACGGACGGCGGGACGGAGAAGTAGAGGCCCTCTGGGACGCTCCGGAGGGCGCGCTCGGCGTGCACGGCGCGGCCGTCGAAGGCGTGCATGCACACTGCGACGGGTGCGCGGCGCGCGGCCTCGACGACGTGAGCCAGCGCGTGGTGCCCGGCCGCACGGCTGTGTACGGAGAGCGGGAGCGCGAGTTGCTGCGACATGGAGAGGAAGTGAGCAAAGGCGTCCGCTTGCAGGCGCTTGGCGTCTGCGGCAGAGGCGGCCAGGGAGAGCACGCGCGGCGTGTAGTCCAGGCCGACTTCGCCGATGGCGACCGCTGGCGTGGTTTGGAGGAGAGAGGTGATGCCGGACAGGGCCGCGGAGAGCTGCGCAGGGGCGAGCGTGGTCACGTGCTCGGGGTGCAGGCCCAGGGCCGGGTGGAGGAAGCCCGGGTGCGCCGCGGTTAGGTTGAGGACGGCGTGCGCGTCGGAGAGGGTCTCTGAGACGCAGATGATAGAGCTTATGCCGGTGGTGCGGGCACGCGTGAGGACGATGGGGAGGTCGGAGATGAAGGCCGGGCTGGTCAGGTGGGCGTGCGTGTCGATCATGGAAAAAGGGAAGTGAAGACGCGGTGGGGTCTTTTTTCGCATCCCTCTTGCGATTGTTTGGTTGCGGTGTGGTACAGTTATGAATACGCTTGGTAGTTGGCTTGGCGGTCGTCTGAATTCATTTCCTTGATGCGCAGGTCGTATGAGAGGCATGAACAGGGTCTGGTGCTAAAACGCCGCTTGATGTAATATGAGCGACAAGACGACATGAATACATGTGCAGCGAAAGCACAAGATGAAAATTTACATGAGTGAGTTACAGATACACTATTCAGCATGAAGTCATGTTCAACATCATCCCCAGTGGAACAATGGGCTACGCGAAACTTAGTGGAGCAGCGCAGAGCGTATCAAAGTGCATATCCCACGCACTTTACACAAACCGCCCGCTGCTAATTTCTTACTGCATCTCACGCAATGTGAGACACATTTTCTTCTCAGCACAGCCTTTCGGTCTTGGAACCGTTCGGATGTTGCGAAAAAAGATCATCCATCTGCGAACTGGCCGAAACTATAAAGAGGTCTTTCGGCGATACAAGCGTCCGCGACGTGGAACTGCAGGCTTGGTCTTGACTTAGTCGAGACTACAATAGCGCAAAGCCAAACCACCATCGCCGCACGGCCTTCAACTTGGGTCTTGTCCTCACGATGGCTCGCTCTAAAACGCGCCCTGCCGTGCTTGCTGACTCATGTACACGCTGAGCAGATGGTAGCCGTACAAGATATTCGCCGTGTCCGGGGAGCGCCCCCAGAAGCCCTTGCACAGTCTCTCCATGAAGCGCTTCATCTTCCTGCCAGCCGCGACGAGCACCTGCCGATGTTCCTCTGATACACACTCACCGCCGCCCCGCTCCGCGTCTTTATATCCTCGCCTCCACATGCGGACCTGGTCCAGCAACTCACGCTGTGGGACAAACTGCCCGCCACCAAAGGCGTCTTCCATCTTCAGAGAAAGCAACTCGCTAGGGCGTGCGAGCGTGCTTCGGTACGCAGCCTGCAGCACTAGCGCATGAGATATGCACGCGCCGCATGGGTCTCGCTCTCTAGTCACTACGGGACTGCGCGCGGTCACTCTCATCCGGCCAGTGCGGGGAGGCTGGAAAAAAAAATCCCCGACTCGAGCGAGGGGGAGCCCCCCCGAGTGGCACGTGCGTTGGAAACAAGCGCGTTTGAGGTCGCGGGCAGCTTGGTTTCTACACCTCATTCGTGCGCACGCCTTCATGAGGAGGGGCGGGTGTCCTGCTCCAATCTCCAGCCCGGGCAGGCCTGCTGAGCGCGCGGAGGATGCGGGAATGCAGGACTGCGGCAGCACGCGTGGACACGCGGTGCCCGTTGGCTACGGGCATGAAAGGGCGGCGGTGGTGCGCGCATGTGAGGCGTGCGGGTTGTGATGGTAGGAACAAGTTGTTGCCTGTTGGCGAGAGGCGGGGGAAAGGTCCCGTCGCATCGTAGAAACTGGAAAGTGGATTTGTTTTTTGGTTACTTCTGGGTGGTTTATGGTCAGATATTGTCGGCTGTTTTTCCACATCGACTTCATCATGATGGCCTTCCATGACGAAGCCCAGCTCTTCCGAGAGGACTGTTTGAAGTCAACTAGCAAGGGACCTTGGAATGCAGCAGCATCGAAGTCCGGGCGCTTTCCAGGCGCATAAATGAGTGTTCAGAATTGCATACAGTGGCAGCTGACGATAACGTCACAATCCGCAGTCTATCTCGCAAGGGACGTCACCCACTGTCATATTGTCCCGATTCGTTGAGAGTTTGTTTCCCAAAACACGTCGCCTCTGTAATCGATTCAAGTCCCCGTGCTCGTCATGAAATCCACAAAGCTTCACCGCTCAGCTAGATGCAAATTCTTCTACGAAAAGTAGTGCGTCCCACCCAACCCGGTAAGACGAGGGGCCCGACAAGATGGCCTGTCTAGCGCCTCAACCCCGACAGGATCCTCGTAGACAGGTCGCGTCTCCGAGCAGCAATCTCTTCAGTCTCTGCGCGGCTTTGTAGTGCTTGCAACTCTTTCATGTAAGACACGATCTCTCACAAACCCTCGCGACACATCATAACATCCACTCCGAAAACAACGTCTTTCACATTTCTCACGAAGAGCCCTCAGTGCACTTTCATTTCCTTCGTCCACAGGCATCATAAGCCTTTACATATCTGCTCCCCAGGTAGGCTATTTCCATAAGACACGTCCCACGCCATGTGGAAAGATCGACAATTACAAGCGACGCAGCAAGTTGCTTTTTTTTACAGATGGCGTCCATACAGTACACAGTGACAACAAAGCTCGAAGGTGGATCCAGATCCATCTCGAAAACCTGCACATAAACTTTACTGTAGGATGCGGGGGAGACGTATCCTTTAAAAACAAGCCTACGTGACCCAACGGAGGATCACGCGAGAACGCTTTCATTTATGGCACTTCTTCCCTTCTTGAGTCGCCACCATAACATTATTCTTACTTTTGACTATTCTGCGAAGAATTTACCCCACCGCTATTCTCTGGCCATGCCAGGTCTAATTGCAAAAGAATTAAATCTCACCAAGCGCCGGTACTGCACTGAAGCTTTACTAGCGATCCTAATTCACGCGACGGATGGACCTCTGGGTTGCGACTAACGTAAAATATTTGAAGCCAGACCACAGGTCATCTCATAACGGCCAAGGATGTGCTGTCTTCTCGATCAATATACTGTGCATTGAAGTCGCTCTTATTGTAACAGCTTCTTCAAAACGTGGGCACATGGCTTAGTGCAGTAAGAAAATAGAAAGCATATAGATGAAACTGAAGTAAAACTGATTGTCTTTGTTTGCTTATCTGCAATATCTCGTCCACCTATCACTCCGTTTCATGTATACTGTACAAGTTTTGTAGTAGTGATGCATTTGCCACCTCACCATCTTCTGGTACGTACCGTACACTGTGACGTGTCAAGATCAGATGACAGATTTTCATTGTCTTGGTCGTTTGAGATGAGAACATCTAATGACTCGATGACTCGATGTTTTAGATTTGACGCAAAACAGGCACCACCTTATTTCTTTATAATCTGAACAAATCCATATGGTCCCACCGAACTAAAATCACAATGGCATTGGTACGGCGATCGGAGCAGTAGCATCTGGTAGAGTACATTGGATCGACGGAGAAGAAATATCTGGCACTACTGTGACAATGGCTGTTTGTCAACCACTTACTAAAAACAAAGTCATGCAAGCAATCATCCCTCTCAGGGTGTTCGCCAGGACAACCACAGATAAAGGTTTTCTTCCTTCGCTTATAGTTTTGCGACAATTCCGTGCTGGCCACAATCGCTTCTCAATCCCTTCTCTCCCTGACCAAGAAGTACATTAAGAGAGCTTGGAATGCTGAAACAGATTCTTGAACGGCACTGTTCCTACTTTCGCGCGGCTAGAGGAGATACGTATGGTTTCGGAAACGCGGTTCTGCAAACTGAAGGAAATTTGTTTCGAAAGCTAAATCCTCTTGCTACGTCGTTTCATTCCGTCAAAATGGTTGGTGCGATTTTTAGCAAACAGAACGTGTTAGAAACCAACTTGAGAATATTGGAATACGTCTGTTCCGTTCTTCAGGGCTCAGAATACACAAACTGTATTCTGAGCCCTGAAGAAAATGGCTGTTCACAGAGAACGATCAAAACCTAGCGCCACTAAAAAGTCAGCTTCATGAAGGACTCGCATACAAAAAATCGAATGGAGTGAAGAGGGCAAAGGACATGGCATTTGGACGGTTTTCCGAATCGAAAAAAGGCAGTTGCTTGAACTTCATCATGAGGATCCAAAAATAAACAAGCCGTCAATAAACGCTTGCGAACTTCGAGCGACATGTAATTTGTCTTCGCATGTCAAAGGTATTGGCTATATTCATTAGAACTAATTGTATCCAGGCGTCATGGTGACATGACATAGAACACAAACGAGGCCTGAGATTGATCGAAAACAGCCTCTGATCATATATCACGTGAATACACGTCCAGTAAGCCGGGGAATAGAGCCTATTTAGAGTTCCTCTCGGTTCTCAACTTCCGATCTGTGCTCATCATTTGAGCGCAGCTCTTTCAGCCGTTTCCGATTTCGCTCTACGATGCGTTTCTTAGTGCGTTCCTGTTCCTGCGGGGTGAGATCGTGCCAGTTTGCGATCCGCGACGTGCTACCGTCGGCGTTGATTACGATAGGCCCAAGCGCAGCCGAAAGGTCGAGCGTGTCAGTGTTGTTCAAAGCATCATTCGACGCCGGCAATCCTAGCTGAGCCGCCGACAAGAAGATGATCGAAGACGCGACAGCTGCGAAAAGGACGAGGGAGAAACGTGGTGTCATGTCTCATCACGTGAAGGGTATGTATCCTCACCCACCACCTAGCTAGTGAAGCGTCAAGGGATGCTGTTCGGAAAACAAGACGCTCATTTCTGCTGATCGTGGCAGAATGAAAAACAGGCCTTTTTTGTTTTTCAGGGTTTTCATGTGCAAATGTACCCTGCGTACCCTTCAAAAGGATACAGGGATGTTTTAAGCCCTCATTCCGTTACATGGTTAACCAGAATCTCAGCTATGTTTGAGACTGATATACTGAGTCATTGTGAATATGTGCGGACATCCTGCTGTGGATAGACCAAGTTCAACTTGTCGGAGGTGAAAATGTTTTTGGTCAATAAAATAAATTTTTGCAAAAAGGACCGATTTTGCAAAAATATATAAATTAAATTTAACATTCAAAAAGCTACCTTAAACACTATTTCCTTAACGTGCTTGTTTTCGGCAATAGCATTCTGTAGAACACCGGGATGGCAGCTTTGAATACGCAGAAAGCTTAAGAGCATAATGCAGATTGAGTACCAAGTCGCCTTTTTAATCTGGCGTTTTTGGTTTCGAAGTTATTTTACATGCGGTTTTAAGGTGGTTTAAAAAGCTTCTTTTGCAGACATCTAGATTTTTAGAAAAACAACCAGGAAGAACAAGCAATTCTCAGAAAGTTCTTTCTGGCCCCAAGTTAGAAGCCAAATACGGTGGCGCGGGTATCTTTTTCTTTCTTGTTGCGGAAGCGAAAGTCAAGAATAAAATAAGTCGAAAAACGTCCTCATTGGAGAACAATGGTCCAATAGACACTAGAGACACTGTGTGTGAAAAACAATGAAGTGGGTGTGACCACCCCTCAAACTCTGTCTGCATCACATATGCAAAACTAATACCGTGTGTCCCTGAACCGAAAGTGTGCGTCCACGCCTGCAAGAGGCCACGGAGATGCTGAGTATGAACTTGCAACCGTTTGTGTGTGTGCCACGTTCATGCTACGGCGTTTTAGGCCACGAAAAAGTAAGACCTGCGATATTGTTCTCCCTCTGAGAGCGGATAGCATGATTGCAATATGCAAGGAAGCAACTGTTTAAAACATGGGGAGCTGTACAACGAAAGGACTTTGAAGAGAATTTCAAGGCTTGAGGTGCGACACAGTTAGACCCGTTATGAGGCCTTGAAGGTTGTACATTATAACGAGGAAGAGCTTTAGCAGAAGAGTTCAGTGGAGAAAAAGAAAGGTAGCTGGAGTGCTTGTCATGACAATGCCGGAACTCCCTGGCTCAAGAGGATGTCTCAACAAGTGGATGAGGAGCCCAACAAAACTGGAAGGGTAAGTCGGAGCTGCAAAGGATGATGATAGAGTAGAGCAGCAGCCAAGTTGTAAAGCTCAGACTTCGCCTGTCAACAAACTGTTCAACTATTGACTGAAAATGACGATACAGCTCAGACGTGAACACCGCCAGAAAAAGGCCGCATCGACCCCCGAGTCCATGAACTCAGTGCACAAGTACACAGTTAGAAAACCCACCACCGCTGCGACAGAACGTGCCTGGTGGCAAAAAACGCGGTGAGCGGCACGATAAGGTTATCCTCAACCGGGGCCAATTCCACCGCTGCAGCCAAGGCCGCGATTTTCACAAGCTCTCTCTTCGCCACATGCGCCACACCAAACCCAACTGCGCGAGCCATTCTCAGCATTCCCAGACTCCCCAGCACGGTGGCTGCCACAAACGCCACACTCCCCGCTACGGTCTTCCTCCTCCCGTCCCTCGCCGGCAGCGGGATGACCGGCCCGCCGACGGCGCCGCCCACGACATCTGCAGCGCCGTCGCCGCACGCCAGCGCGGCAGCGGCGACGTACGTCGCGGCTTCATGCCTCCAGCCGAGGGCCGTGATCAAAGCTACGGCGAGCCCGTAGGCCATGAGCCCGCCCGCCTCCGAGTGTAGGTCGGAGCCGCGAGCTGTAGCCGACGCGAAGGCGTCACGGGACGGGGCGCGCGCGATGCGCGCGGCGAAGGAGAGCGGCACTACGGCGGCGACCCATCGCGCAGCTGGGCCCGGTGCATACAATGGCCAGGTGAGGAGGAAGAAGGGCGCGGTGGTGATGTGGGAAAGCTTTCTCGCCAGGCGGGCCGGGAGCGCGCCAGAGGTGGAGAGACGGGAGACGACGCGCGTCCAGACGAAGGCACCCGCGTAGCTGATGGCACCGGCGAGTGCGTTGCGGAGGAGGACGGCGGGGAGGGCTGGCATCGTAGTGCCAGAACGCGGATGGGCGAGACTTCTGGCGGATGTGGGGCGTCAGATCAGGGATTTGTGGTTGGAAATATATATGATTGCTGGACATGGCCGTTGAGGTTGAATCTCCTGCTCGACTGACACAACGCCCTCCTTATAAAAACGACCACATCCGACCGCAGCCGAAATGCCAGGACATCTTCTGCTACACGAGTACTATGGCCTTCGTACCACCTCTTCCTGTCCTGCACCTCAATTCCCGACAGCCTCGAAGGCAATCTCATTTGCTCCGCAGCGCCTTCCCAGGAGTGTCATGTCATCCTCGACCAGCGCGCGCGGCCCGCTCTGTGCTATGGCACCGCCTTGCATGTCCATACATGGTGTCGTCTCGCATGCACAACACATCGCCCCCTGCATCAGCCCCGCCAACTAGCCCGCCGCCGGTGTCTCCGTTGCTGTCACGAAAGCCTCTGGTAGTTGCCGCTGTTGTTCTGCTGGCCGGTCTGTCAGTGCTGGTGTCGAAGTACGTCAACTTGTCCGCCCTATTCGCCGCGCTCAACGCGCACGTCGAACAATTGGGCGTTGTCCGTGGAGGCCTGCTTCTAGCCGCCATCAACTATTTCACTGTGCTCTTCTGCTTCCCGGCCAACATGGGTCTTATGATTGGCGCGGGCGCTGTTTTGGGCCCGCTGCCCGCTTTCCTTGCGCTCTTCACATCGAAGCTTGCGGCCGCAGCCACCGCCTTCGCTCTTGCCCGGGGAGTGCTTCATGAGAGAGCGACTCGGTGGCTGGAGCGGGCGCCGAAATTAAAGACAGTGCTCGCGGATACGGGGAAGAATGGCGGGTGGAAGTTTGTCGTGCTCATGCGGCTGAGCCCATTTCCGGGGTTTTTGCTAAACTATCTGCTCAGTCTGACAGGCGTCGGGTTTGAGCATTATTTGCTTGGCACGATAGTGGGGATCGCGCCGAGCATTTCTAATCTCGTTTTAGTTGGCGCGACGGCGAAGGACGTAGGGATCGGCGTTGGCGGAGGGATTGTGAGGGGCGGATGGCTGGGCATCTCGCTCAAAGTCCTGTGTTCGGTGTCCATGGTTGTTGTCAGCATCATTGTCACGAAGAAAACACGGAAGGCTTTTGCAGAGCTGGATGAGAATGGGGAGCGAAAGGAGCTGCCAGCCATGGATGCTGAAGTCGTTGCGAGGACTGGCCCATAAATGCTCTAATTCTGCGACCGGGGAAGCTATCGGTTTCCCATGTCGGGGAGGCAGATATCCGCCGGCACCCTCATCGACATTTTTGAGGCATTGTCACATAGAGTATCGGAAAGATGACGTGATAGGCGCGCGAGGTATGGCTCTCACGCTACCTGCCACGGAACACTTGCTGACGGTGGCACCGCGACACTTAACTTCTGAACGGTAGGGGTGAGTACTAGTTTTGAAAGGGGGCGAGCGGGCAGTCTCTGACTACGTGTCTATAGGAAAGGTTCTATGTAAATGTAATACACAACACACAGCGAAGTACAGTAAAATCATTTATCGAAGCCTGTCTGCACCCTGTATATAATATACAACTCACTTCTACACGTTTAGTATAAGACCGCGAGTATATCCGCTTTCTGTGCCCCGACCCAGTCGCAGTTTTTTTTTTCTCGACAACGCACCGCCTCACCATACTTCATTTTCTCATAACTAGAGAATATATTTTCCGAAGAGCGGTGCCGGCGTTCACAGGTCACTCGAAGTCGTATCTGCAAACTGGGGCTTAATGGTTCGCAGAGAAAAGGCGCCCAAGGATCTGCGGGCCGTAAGGTTGTTGCATCAGATAACCAACAAACACTGCCACAACCGATAGATACATCGCCGATAGCTTTACCGAATCACCGAATACCATACTGTTTCTTGTTTCAAGAGCTTGCAGACGTTCTTCTAAGTCTGCCAACTTTTTCTCTGCCGCTGCAGCACGTGTCTGCTCCTTACATAACAACAACCGCAACTGCGATACAGTGGAGGACATCGCTTGCGCAGCTTTAGACTTTCCTGCCCGAGCATTTCTCAACTTGAAGAAACCGAGCTGTTCTCGCAGAGAAGTTGTCTCTGCTTTTGCATGCGACAACTCCGCTTTTGCCGAAGCGAGAGACAAGCGCAAACACGCGAGCTCTTCTTCCATAGCGTCCGCGATTCGTCGCAGAGCTGCTCCGACTGGAAGGTCTGGAGTTTCGGAAATGCCGCTCACGATCATATTCTCCATTTTCTCAACTCTGCGCGCTCGCAGATTCAGCCCTGGCCGAAAGTTTAACATCTCGGCCCAACGTTTAAGTTGCGTCATGGCTCCCATCGTGAGCCAGAGTGGAAGGCCACCGACAAGTTCAGGTCTGTTCTCGACTTTCCGAGCGAGCGGAGGTGGTGTCGAGGTTTCCGATCGAACCTGGCTGGCACGTCCTTCCGCCTGCTCCAAATTTCCGGCGGTCATTCGGAAGCTGCTGGAGATGGCGCCACACGCCAACGAAGCAAAGCCAAAGCCGAGAGGGGTGGACCTCATGCTGGTGTCTCCACTCAAGCTTTAGAGTATTGACTTGGGAGCTCTGCGTGGACCGAGGGCTCTCGATGAGACTCGCAAGATGCAACGGAAGAGATGCCGTTCAGACAATTGCGGTACCGCGGGATATAGAGCGGTTTTCACAGTCACAGTAGACTCTAAAAAATGGTCGCTGAGCAAGTAAAAAGGGAACGCGTGGAACTAGATTCTCGAGTAAGTTGGCGTATGTTAAAGTCGAGGCACCACCTGCGGCAGGATACTGCGATCCTTCCTCAATTCCGTTCAACTGAAAAATATCGAAACACAAGAGGCGTTTGCATCATAATCACTTACTTTTTGCAATGACTTGCCTGCCCTACCATACATGCTGACACTGACATCACTCGCAGATCGAAATCTGTTGCTCTGCTCGCGTGTCCGGGCTCAATCACAAATGTGCTCCAGTGCGGTCGGATGCGGCTCACGATGCCCTCATGGCTCAACAGTGTGAAGCCCTCAAGAGTTCGCACAGCTGTCTAGAGTCTTGCATCTTTCACGATCATTTACGGATGTCGTCCCGAACGACAAGACAGTAGCAATACAATTCATTGGGACGCCCTTCGAGACACTTTCTCAAAAGCAAAGGACCACTGCATCTGAATATGTGATGTGAGCAGTCTTTTCCCCTGGGTTCCAGCCATGCCATTTATTCTTCCTCTTCTTCGTCTCCAAACACAATAAATTGGGAGAGATCTCCAATGTCATTGTCGTCCTCGTCGCCAGATCCATAACCAGCTTCATCATCAATCAGCGGGTTACGAGGTCGCTCGTCATCACTTTCATAGGTGATTCGTCGTTTCTTCCTTCGCTTTGGCTGTGTCCGAGAGACTTGATCTTCAGCCACCTCATCGTCGTTGAGAGCCACATGCTCAGTACCAATGGCCGCCTCGGCTCTTGTGGCGGAAATTTCATTTTCGCCTCTGAGATGCTGTGTGCCAATCTCAGCGCTTCTTCTTTTTTGTCCCTTCGCTTCAGCCTGTCCCTTCCGGATTTTGGAGTTATTCCTTCTGCTTAGTCGACCCGTAGATTTTCCTAGCGGTTTCTTCTGTTTTCGTTCAGAATCATTACCGAGCCTTGGCAGATGTGCAATTGGTTGATCCATATTATCACCGTCGCTTTCGTCGCTGCTGTATTCACTTTCATTCTCGGATTCACTCTTGTATTGTAGGTGCTGCGAGTTGAGGACATCCCCATTGATATCTCGATGTTTCAGATTTCCTAGTTGGAAGGCATCGGTGGCATTGTGTGACTGCATAAGGTCCTTAACACGGTACAGCAGCAGTTCTAAAGATTTCCGCAATGGCGGGACCAAGCCTGTCAGCGAGGAGTCACGAGTGAATTTGCTGTGAGCACAAAAAGTTTGGAGAACTCTCGTCGGCTTCTGGTGCGCTTTGCATATCTGTACAACAGCACTGCGATGTTCCTTAAAGTTTTCTTTTAGAAACGGTAGGCAAGACTTAAGAAAGAGTTCCACGAACGTGCGCCCGGCCCGCATTACTGGTCCAAGCATCCTTTGGTTTTGACGAGCAAGGGTATATAATGGAAGCTCAGTTCTCATAAACTCTGCCATTTTCTGAAAGGCGTCTTCAGGGTCCTCAAAAGAACGTGGCCGGAAAGACTTGAACAGCCAAATATATTGCTCCAAAATTGCTATTGTGAATGCATTTACGGTTTGCTCCGTGAGGGTCCCTAAGACGCTTGCACCACGCTGAGAAGATCCATCTGCATTCTGCGTCTCCAAGGGCTTGTTCTGGAGCGTGGCTTGTCTCTCCGTCATTGACACCACCTTCAAACGAAGATCTTCAGCGGTCCTAAACGGATCGGTAGATGTTTGCACGTATATTTTGACTATACCAGGGATAAGTTTCTGCGTCCTCCGCGATCGCAACGAAGCAATATCCCATCTGTGGCTGATTACGGAGATTGCACTCTCACTGAACTGAGGTCCTAATCTCTTTTGATCCATTTCGGAACAATGTCCATAAACAGAATCCAATACCCCTAAAATCGAACAACAAGCCACGAATCCGATGGCATCCGCACACCCCCGTTGCTCGTCATCATCTTCTTGATTTTCGTCAACTGCCATTATTTCTCGAAGCATTACACGCAGCTGCCCGAAGGCTTCTCTCGCAGCAATATGAATGTCCTCTGAAGTAAGGGGATCTGATGGCTCCACAGGGGGACTGCCATCAAGTCTGATCGAACCCAGAACTGTAAAGAGAAATTCTGCGGCCGCAGGGTCTGCAACAGCTTTTGAGTTCAGAGCCTCCGCCAGGCATCTCAAACAAAGCTCAATACTTTTCCTATTGACCTCAATCGTTGAATCACTTTCTGCAGAGTCATTCCCATTTGGAAGTATCTTATCTAAACATCGCCGGATCTGAGAGGGCAGAGCGGTCAACGGGGTCTGCAATGCCGTGAAGTTCTTTAGACGAAAGCTCGTGGAAGCTTCCGCAGACGACCCTCCCATCTCCACATTCTTTGCAGCTGAATTTGATGACCGAAACAAAACTACGCCAATGGCATTGGGGTCGCGAAACTCCCCTCCCACAATTTTTTCAATGTGCACAGCAAGCTCAGAGAGTAAGTGAAGCAGTCCTCTTGATGAGAGTCTGACGCTTTCCGTCACTGGATTGCCCTCCTTCCCGCACTCACTTTCAACCTCAGTGAAACGCCAAGATACTGGACTTGTCACTCGGATCAGAGACAATGCTGTTGCATCTAATTGACGTGCAAATGGGAGCCATTCTTGTCCTTTCGCACCTAACTCTCGGGATTCTCGCAAGACGCGACTCCCTGTAGAGCCTTTGCCGGCCTTCCGTCTAAACTCGTCTTTCCGTTGTTGTGCGGGGCCGCATCGACTTCCACTGTATGAATCAAAGATTACCTCCTTCCAAAGCGGTATGTGAGTGACACAGAGTGATATTTGATTGCTCAGGGTTAGCAGATCATCCACTCTCTTGATACATTTCGCTTTCATCTCTGTGCTCTCCTGATCTGAAAAGCCGTTCAGAAGTTCAACAACCCATCCGTGGGCTGTGAAAAGACTCAGCAACAAATCGCCTTTTGCCCGTGTAGGGAGGTTCGCTATGGACTGTTCGGAGGGAACCACTGCCATATGCAGCGGAGCTCCAATAGTGGCATCGATCTCGGATAGAGATCCTTCATATCTGCTGGCAGTCATAACGCATAAGAGGCGGAGATTCGGAACCATGGCGCGTACAGCATCTTGACTATCCTTGAGGGTCTCACCAGTTCTAGCGAGCGCAGCAATAGAGAAACAAAATTCGACGTCATCACCTTCTAGGTTACCAAAGAGCTCAGCAGGAAGTACCTCATTGACAGTTGGGAGGTTCTCCAACGTATCCCTGTCACGAATATATTTCTTTTCAAAAACGTTGGAGACAGTCTTTCTTATGAATTCAGCCGTATCTTTCGATGTAGGTGTACCGTCGCTGAATACCCTCGCCAGCTCATCAAATGCTAAAGCTTGACTAAGCGGGTGTGATCTTCCAATGTCTAGCATCATGGACAGGATGTTGTTCTCGACGGAATTTCCAAGGACTTTTATCATCGTGCACGCCCCTAACACACCAATACGTCTGTAGAAAGTATCAACGTGTGTGAGCTCCTTCCGAAGAAGTATCTCCAACATGGCCAATTCAGATTCTCCTGCGCAGTTTTCTTCCTCAGCATGCATGATTGCATCCTTCTGCTGCTGAGAATTCGTTTTCTTTTTTCGCTCCCCACCTCGAGAACTACTTTCATGTATCACTTTCGCCGACGACGCCCTGCACAAATACCCAAGAATCGTCCATATTGATCGTAGTTGGGAATCCGAGAAAAATTCCAGAAAGTCAAGAAGACCTTGAATCACAGCTGAGTGAGGCAAAAGGGCGCGGTTGGTTTCATTCTCACGAGCTATCACAACAAGCGCTTCGAGAGCGGCGTCCACCTCCTGGGCTTTTCGAGTTCCTGTGTGGTCCAGAAGAGCCATGACGATATTCCGTCTGACATTGCCATCCGGGAAGAGTTGAAAAACTAGGGCGTACAGAGTAATCCCTGTGCTCCGTGCTCCCAACTCAGAAGACTTCAGAGCAATTCCTGCAATGTACAACAGCCTGTGAGTAAGACCACCGAAAGCGTCTGCGAACGGGGCCAAAGCAGCATCGATAAGGGCTTTGGAGAACACGGCCTTGGCGGCCTTCTTGCGAAACAAAATCTCTGCTGGCTTGCGATGCATCGGTGAGTCAAAGAGGGCAATTATGAGCCAAAAGTCTGACGGTTTGTGGTCCGAGGGCTTGTCGATGCCGCGCAGGACCTTTAGCACTTGGTCTGCGATTTGCTTCTTCATGCGCAAACCAGACTTGACGGCATCCAAAGAAAGACGTCCAGGTCCTGGACCCAAGCTAGGCATCGCAAGAGTGTGACGAAGGGCGCTAACGGTGGAGGAAAGGAGACTCGGGGGGCACGTACGCAAGAGATATTTCAGACTAACAGGAAGCATGTCGCGATTGGCAGCGTTAAGGGTTGACAATATGGAGGCGTTGACATCCGGAAGCCGAGCATCGTTCACACCTAAAGCTCCTATGGCGTCAACGACAGAACCCATCAATGACGGACTCTCTTCCAATATTCTTATCATTTCCGTCACGGCCACCTCACGGGATGAATCATCGAGAATTTCAGGAAGAGCCTCGATGAGTGCTCGCTGCACGGAATAGGAAACGATAGGTACAATCGACAGAAGGCTCTCACACAAGGCGGGCCCATCGACAATAAAGTCTAGCCACCTCAGCTGATTAAGCAAAATCGTAGCGATATTGTTCTCAGCATTCGACTCTTCTCCAAACTCAGAAATCTTATTCACGATGCAAGTCACCATGGCAGGCTGAAAGACGTCAATAGAGAGTACAAGCTTCGCCAGCGAAACTGACATGGTTGACGCATTCCTGGCTTCCGGGCCTTCCATCCTCTGACAAGCGCGTCGCATGCGAGCCGTGTCGTTCCAACACGTCTCGATGTCGTTGATGACAGCCTCAACTGCGCCGCTGGGCGCCCGTACATCAAGTCCATCTTTCAGTGCATTCGCTAACGCGCGCGTGCTGGCAAGGCAAGTGTATCCTTTTTCATCTGCTCGCAATCCCCCGCGCCAGAGGCGGGATGAGAGATCACTGCTCCCAAACTCGGCGAGAAAGAATTCGTCAGGTTGTGCTTCGAGGCCTGGCATGGCTTGGCAACGTCCCCGTGAGTCTTTAGCCTTACCTCAGGCCAAATGGAATAAGAACGGGGACCAGGATGCTTGTTGAAGGCTGAGAGGGATTGCTCCCCTCCATATTTCAAAAAAGATCGTTTCCCGCGCATTTTGGTTGCACACGCTTTCGGTCCGAAAACGCATCGTCCTCTTGTACACGTGTGAAAGGCGATCGTCCATTCCCCATCCTCACAAAACAATACAGTCGACCCTACGCATTAGTGCCGCCCTGTGTAGGGACTAATAATACGGCACTAATTCGGATCGGCACTATCAGAAAGCAGAATCACTACCCGGCCAGAACTCTGTTATTAGAGTCTGCTGTTGTTGGCTTTGACCCTGTCTCTCATGCCCAGCTTCTAGAAAAGCTCGTTTTGCAGACCTCAAGTGCGATAAGGCATTGCTCACATCGCACTCCACACCCAGACTCTCCAAAGACCCAAACAACCTTGCTAACACTACAGCACTCGGTACGGCCCGCCTCTCCGTAATTTCACACTCGCCTTCTGCCACACAATCATCCATCATAGCATCATTGGCAGACTGCTTCTGTAGCTCTCCACAATAATGTATTGAATTGCAAGCATCACTAATAGAAGCTTCTGCCACAAGCTCATTAGTCTCGATCTCAATCCATTCCTCCACATCGCAGAGTGCAAAGTCTTTGTTCCGAGCGTTGTAGCGGTGTTGGTCACAATTTGTTGGAGTGAAGGAAGAGATCGTTTGATGTTTCGGATAGTTCGCCCTGAAATTTTGAACTGACGCATAACTGTGGTATTCGCATTCCCGACCTGCAGCAGATGCCCAACCTCGATTTTCTGTGCAATCGTAAGGCGCGTACGCTTCGCTTCGGCGATCTTTTCAGGAGTCATGTTAGGGTCTTTGAGTCAGGGTCATCACGTCACCAATTGAGCTGAGGCGCATGAGGAGTGGCCGATGACGACGTCATGCATGACACGTGGCAGAACCTGTGTCTGCCGGTTTGGCGGCACTAATTCGAGGGTGGCAATAATGAAAGCGGCACTATTGCGCGTCCCCCCCCTCCATGTCTTTTTCCAAAGTGTCGCACGGAAGGCTTTGAATGCAGCGTTCCAATCGCTCCGCTCTGTGGTGTAAGAAATGTTGCTGACAAGCTGGACCTGAAGAGGCATAGAAGATTCGTGAAAATGGATAACATCATGCGTGCTGCGATGAACGACGAGTGCAATCGCAAGCTACTGTAGTAGTTATTAAGAGCGATTTCCTAAAATCTTTCCAATCGGCAGAGGTGCTGCGAAGTCTTGAAGTTTCTTTGCCCACCGTCGTAAAGCAACAGGAAAATGACTACTCGAGGCTCATGTAAATCTAGGCACAAGAAGGAGAGCGAGTCAACTATCTGCGTTCGACATAGCCAAAGCCTCTGAATCGCTAGTTTATGTGAGTTTGGACAAAACAAGCTTGAAACTTTACAGGCATTGCTATAAGGCTGGACTCCTGAGCACCAGCCACAAACCCACAGCGGCCGTGCCCTCTTCGCCTATGCACTTACGCGTGCAACCCGTTCACAAGCCGACTTTTCCCGTATCAGCGATCCCACAACAGCTCATGGGTCATCTTCGGCTTCTTGCTGTCCCTTGCGAATGGCCGAATAAAACAAGAAGAGAAAGCTCGGCAATGAAACAGCCAATATACCAGACGTTACCGTGGAGCCATACATCGGATGCCCCCCCGTCAATTCGAATACGCACCCGACAGACGCAATAGCCAATATGCTAGACGAAAGTAGGAGCAATCCGCTCGGGGCATTGATAGGTGGAGAGCTACCCTCCATTCGCATTGGAGCTCTTGGGGTTTGAGGCGCACAATGCAGCTCATCGGGTGGACATCTTACCCGTCTCGCCGTACGAGCAAACTGACCATTCGAAACCGTCGTGGTAGCCCTCCAGCTCCTCGATTGGTTGGTCGTCAGCTGCACGCCGCAACTTGACACAAAAGCCGACATTTTGCGTTTCGAAGAGCAATCGTTCCCCACTGCCTGGCTCTGTGTGCGTTCATGCTCTGGTCGTATGGCATTGAGAATCCATTCACCTTCGGATCCAAAGGAAACGATTGTTTTTCGGAAATTTTTGATCGTTTTCTATCTGCATTGGAGCTCAAGAAATTTTGCAGACCACCCGGAGACAACATCGAACCACAACTCATTTGCTGCACATCCGGAAACACCTGCCCCACCACTTCCCAAGCTGCTCCTCTTGCTCTCACGAAATTGCTTGCCGAAGCAACCCCGACAATGGGCAGAAACACACAAGCATTTGCGCTCGCCAACACATCGTTCGCGCCGTCCTTGAATACCGCTACCTCTTTGCGTTGTTCCACTTTTGGACGAGGACACGCACGCCCTCGCCATGCACAATGGGCAATCGTTATATCTCCGGTTGCCTGCACTTCGCCCAAATCCACTGCGTCGTCGTCGTCCCAAATACTTTCATTGGATGACGCGAAAAACTCAATTGAAGTGCAGCTGCAAGATGCTATTACCGCATTGCGGGAGGCCGAAGAAATAACAGCAGTGGAGAAATTGCGAGTCAAGTACCTTGGGAAAAAGGGGACCCTTACAGTCATCATGAAAATGGTTGGTAAGCTCGTTAAGGAAGAACGCCCGTTGTTGGGAGCGGCTGTTAATATTGCCAAGGAAAAGGTTAGTTCTTTGGTGGCAGAAAGAAAGGAGGCAATTGAGGAGGAAAACATACGAAAGAAGGAAGAATCAGAATGGGTTGACGTGACAATGCCGGGTATCCGTCCCGACAGAATTCCGGGACGCATTCACCCAATCACGTCAACAATGAAGATTGCGACTAACATTTTCGTCGACATCGGCTACGACCTTATCGACGACCCTAAGTACAATCGAGATATTGAGACAGACTACTACTGCTTCACGGCTCTCAACTGCCCGCCCGACCATCCTGCCCGGGAGATGCAGGACACTTTTTATCTCACTGCTGACAAGAAGAACTTGCTACGCACGCAAACATCATCCGTGCAAATTCGGTACATGGAAGAGAACAAACCTCCGTTCAAAATCATTGCCCCGGGTCGTGTTTACCGTCGAGACACGTCAGATGCAACGCACTCGTCCACTTTCCATCAAATCGAAATCTTGGCCGTCGACAAAATGGGCGTTTTGAACTTTGGCGGATTGAAAGCTACGGTCACCCATTTTCTTAAAAAGATGTTAGGCGAGGAAATCCAAACGCGCTTCCGAGGCTCGTACTTTCCGTTCACAGAACCCAGCGTAGAAGTGGACGTCTTCTTCCGAGGACGGTGGTTGGAAGTGCTAGGATGTGGGATGGTAGACCCAGCTGTACTAGAAAATGTAGGGTTGGACCCTGAAGAATGGAGCGGGTTCGCGGCGGGCTTTGGGGTCGAGCGATTCGCAATGGTAATGCACGAGATTCCGGATATCCGCGAGCTGTACAGGAACGACACTCGCTTTTTGACACAATTTATGACCGATGTTTAGTTCCTGTTCATGGACACATGCTCTCTAATAATGTAAAGATGGTGCTGAACGTGGCCGTGCCTCTTTCAGTTTTCTTGACGACTTTCAAATCGAGATGAGGAATAGGAACTTCACAAGCAGCGCCAACACTATTACCAAACCATGCGTGCGCAGCAGTCACAGAGAAAGAGACGATAGCAAGGAGGCCAACTCATCTTCATGGGCTTCCAAAGCACTGTGATTTTGCCGAGCGAGAATTTCAAGCGCTCTGGCTATGACACGCATCCTGTGCAAGAAGTATTGTGAGTTCTTCGGGAGCGACGCAAGCCTCTGTTTCTCCACGCGCAGTTGAACCACCATACGGTCCCTTCGTTCCGCGTCATGACGGAGCTTACTAGTGTCCCTGACCATGCCGCTTGCGGTGTCATCGTCTACATCCATCTTGGTGACAAGCAGGACGATGATGGCGGTTCCGAACGGCCCGCTACGCTCACAGAGGGACGGGTAACTTCGACCCTTCCACTTGCTCTAGACCCTTGCTAGCATCGCTCCGCGTGCATAGTACTCGCCTTCGCAAATCCCTTGAGTCAAAGGCGTTGAAAGGGTTTGCTGCCGACTTGTTCTCAGCCGCGAGCTTAGACTATCGGATGAAAGGATTGGAAGAATTTCGTCTCTCAGATGCGAAAGGAAGGCGAATTTGAGGTTTGCAAATACTGTTACTATACATAGATCAAGTGTTACAATACTGTATATGATACGGAAATGACTTCTTTTACTTCAAAGAAGTAGTTTCAAGGCCATACCACATTGTTTCGGTGCATCCATTATTACCACGTGTCCACGTATTAAGATACGAACTGCACTGTGGACGGCACCTGCCCACTCTCTATGGACTACGCCGGTGCCATAATATGTACATACTGTATGTACAGTGCGGAGACACGTCACAGAGAGATCTCTCTAGATTACTTCTTGCAGCAGGTGGTGCCTTTCTTTCCACGGCTTGAAGATAATTGCGCAAGCGGCTTGTACAACTATGAGACCCTCTCATTCTCTCAGCGACGCCTTTGTCACCTCGCTTCCCCTCTTACCATCACCACAAGTCGCCGCACCATGCATCGGGCCTGTCCGGCGCGCCGCTGCCCCGCGCTATGTGACACCTCGCCGACGCCGGCCTCTGCTGCGAAATCTCACCCCCACGGCCCTCGCCAGCACGAGCCCAATCCTGGCTGATCAAGTATCGCAGTTGAAGCGCAGCTTGCAAAATCTTCAAGCCCGCGTCTCTGCCAATGCAGCAGCGACCGACATTGAAGCCCATCAAGCTGCCGTTCGAGAAATTCAGACCATGTCCTCCATGCCCACGTTTTGGGATGACTCTACTCTCGCTCAAGCGTCTCTCCAAAAGCTCGCCGCGCACGAATCAGTTCTCGCCAGATTGGAAAGATGGCAAAATGGCCTCGACGATGCCATCGGTTTCCTGGAGTTGGGCGAGGAAGCCTCTGGGGCTGATGGCGAAGCGTCCGCCGAGGAAGCCGACATGCTCTCTGAAGCGAATACGATTTTTGAAAACGTTAGCACGGATGTGGCCAAGTATGAGCTGGAAAAGCTACTCGACGGACCGCATGATAAGAGCGGCGCCGTGCTCAGCATCACAGCAGGCGCGGGAGGGACCGATGCCCAGGACTGGGCTGAAATCCTTTGTCGTATGTACACGCGCTGGGCGGAAAGTGAAGGTTTTGGTGTTAGAGTTGTTGATCTCAGCGAGGGGGAGGAAGCTGGTTATAAGTCGGTATCGATTGAGATAGACGGGAAACATGCGTTTGGATTTATGCGTGGGGAAATTGGGACGCATCGATTGGTAAGGATCAGTCCTTTTAATGCGCAAAGCAAGCGGCAAACGAGCTTTGCGGGCGTGGAGGTGATGCCTATACTTGAGGAAGAGGATCTCACGAACATCGAGATTCCAGAGTCGGACCTCAAAGTGACGACGATGCGGGCGGGTGGGAAGGGGGGTCAGAATGTCAACAAAGTTGAGTCTGCAGTTCGCATGGTGCATGAGCCCACGGGAATTGCTGTGCGATGCGCGCAAGAGAGGTCGCAGCTGATGAACAAGTCAAGGGCTTTGAATATGCTCAAGGCGAAGCTCTTGCTCATAAAAGAAGAGCTCAGAGTGAAGGAGTTGGCGGATATTCGGGGAGAGGCAATCGAAGCGGCCTGGGGTTACCAGATCCGCAACTATGTGTTGCACCCTTACAAGATGGTGAAGGATGTGCGAACAGGTGTGGAAAATGCTGATGCTCAAGGCGTTCTTGACGGGCAACTAGAACAGTTCATATCAGCAATGCTCCAGTTCAGAAACGAGGAGAGAGAAACTGTGGAATTCGAACGTGCATAAATTCTTGTTAACAAATGGATCACGGCTTACGAAATCGCTCAAGCAGTGTCTACGTGAATGTTGCAGAACGTCAAAGAAGCGCTGAAAACGAAGGTTCAGAACACTGGAAAGCGTTTATGTAGATACGAGAGTTGATTGCGAACAAGTTCTGAAGAGGGAAAACTAGCTAACAAGCAGATGAAGACAGGCTAAGCACCGAAACGACTCTCCTGTTGCTACACTACAAAAGGACATGCGAAATTGATATTCTAGTCAGGAAGCCCAGCTAATCGCTGATTGCGGGCGACGACGAGATTTGCTGGGTGTGGGTAGTTGGCAGCTGGTAGTCCTTGTGTATCTACCAAGAAATGGAGTGCTATTCCTTCCGCGTCTGAAGTTGTTCCAATCATCCGAAGCGAGATGGCCAAGATTTTCCCTTCTCTCCGGGAGTTTGGCATTGCTTCGTCGAAAATTGTTCTCGTCACGTTCGCGCGAGCCAAAAGCCTCACTTGGATGTTTCCATACAACTGGAGCAGGGTGGTCATACCTGGGAGCTCTTGCCTTCTTGCGGGACTCGGAAAGCCTCCTTGGGAAATTAGACGGGCGCCGGTTCTCGGCCACGCTGGCGGAGCGATCTCTCATGGCGGTGGTTTCGACCTTGAACTCTCGGTCACCCTTAAGCGAGATGGTGTTCCTCCTAGTAATGACCAATCGGAGCGGTGCTTCTTCGTGAAGTTTTGCCGCAGCATCGCTGAGCCTCTTGAGCTCTTCTTCTTTTCTGACTTTACGAACAGAGGCCTTGGCGACGGCAGCGTAAGCACCACTCTTGCAAAAGACCTCTGCCGAGCGTGACTTACACATGGCTAGACTTCCTTTCGGTGGGTGGGGCTGACGCTGAGATTTAGCGAGAGATTCAGCTGTGGTGAAGCAGCGTTCAAGAGCGAGGAGGTCAAATGGAGCATCCTGACGTGTAGGTGCGAAGAGCGGGACCTGCGCTACTACAGCGGGGTTCTTGCGAGGAGCGATTTTTGAACGAGGGTGTTTCTTTTGGTTTGCGGTGGGTGGGCGAGAAGGGGGACGCAGACGTTGGGCAGCCGCATCTCCCCAAATGGCTATCTGTTCAAGACGAAGGGCATCGCGGGAGGGTAAAGCGGAGTACGTTTTGCTTCGCAAGGCGGGACGTGGTCGGTCAGAGCTGGGCATGACAAAGTTTGAAGGTGAGATGGGTTTGGGAATGAAGGGGGAAATTAGGGATATGTAGGGAGAGTGGGCGAGGGGGGAAGGGTGAGGTAGAGATCTGGCGAAGAGGGGAGCCTCTATTTGAAAGGGGGGAAAAGGAAAGAATCTTTCTGGGTGTGGACTGAGAGAGTGGAAAGAGCGGGACATGGAACACAAGAAAGTATGTGGGCAAAAGTCAAAGTTGTTTGAGGGATTTGCTGTTTTGATAAGGGAAGCTGTGGCTCGTTGCGTCCATGGCGGGAAGGAGAGTGCAGTCGACGTCCATTTGCAATCAGAATTGGCATATGATAGATACAGTGCCGTTAATTTTCTTGATTTTTCCTGCTCTGGCGTCTACTGCCAGAGATGCCAGCACGCTGCATTGTACGCGCAGCGGCCATTCGCGCTTGGTTCATTACAGTTTTTTCCTTTCCAACGAGACTGTTCACTGGACGCAACTGCTGTTCGCCAACGGCTTCCGTCATTGCGGATTCAGCCTGCAACACTACTGTAGACTCCTACGACGGACTCCGCCGTCGCACGCCTTGCTGCAGTACTATCGAGTGGAAGCACAATCCATTGCTTTAGATGAGAATTTTGTTGCGCCTACATCTTAGGCCTCGACTGCACGGAATCTGCAACAATTTTCTTGTGGTGCTATCGAGGCTTTGCTCTGCGTGTCTGAAATGCTGTCAAGACGTGCAAAAGTTGATTCCGGTCGCAGAAAGAAATGGACACACGCCAATAGCACGGGGGCTATAAACGTCGCGTCCCATTCACACGCTTGTCCCTAAACTTTACTGTCGTGCAGCACAAAGAATAAGGCTAGCCTTGCATCTCGATACAGTATGTGGTTGAGTGGCAAAGTGACTGTATTGAACAGTACAAGAGCTTGACTGCAATTAAGAGGCAAAGGGCAATAGGAGTGATATACAGTTCACATGTATAACGCCATGTGCGTGTGGTTGGCGACAGATTCTCACGCGAGTGCAACGGAGACACAAACAGTGCGTTATTGCGGCGATGAGCAGGGAGGTGGCGAGAGTGGCTAGCAATTCGCCTCAGGCAATTCGCGTCCGGAAGGTCCACTGGGAGGTGCGAGGGCGTTCTATTTACAGTTGTGGACGAACTGTGGTTGGTGAGTGGGCGACCTGGGCGACGTGCACATGAGGATGGACTTTCTGTCGACGGGACTGTACGACTGTGCGGGAAGGAGAGTCAAGGAAACGGAGAGGAGGGGAGGATCGCGAGATGATCAATATAATAAATTGTATGAACATTGTATGAAAGTATTCACGTGGAGAGAAGGAATGGCCCGAATTACAGTAGGGGGACTGTTGTACATATCCACACACCAGGTACAGAGGCGCGCGTGCGATGAGATATTTGTTGAGACCAAGAAATGCAGTGGCGTGGCGCATGTCAGAGTGTCCCGTTTCGCGGCCTTCTCAAGTGGGACACAGCCTGTGGCGGGAAGGAACTTAAGGCGGTGGGCAAGGTGGGGACGGATGCGAGGCGGGGCAGTGCTGGCGCGGCTCTCATGGGTCGCGCACGCGTCGCGTTTGCTTGGCAAATCTACAGTAGACCGAGGAGCGGAACGAGTCGGGTGTCAAAGCATGTACTGTAGCGGCTCACGTCCGTCTCGGAGCCGCGGCGTGTTTCGTATACAAAGGCAATCGCAACGATGCGTGGCCGACCTCAACGTAGTGGCAAGGGCGGTGCCAGCGCCCGCGGAGCCCATGTGTCGCAGCGCGGTCAAGCGGGGCGGGCTGATGTCAGCCTGTCAACAGGCCCTCATGGTGATGCGCGATGTCGGCGCAGTCATGCCGCAGTACCCTTCTGAAGGGTACAGCCGGCACGCGCCCATGACGAGTAAGGGTGATGTTCCATGTTGACGTCTTCCCGTGAAGATAAAACGGGGGCGGCCCGGGGACCGAGTGGGGCGGGGCGATCCAGGCGGGTGCTGCGCATGGCGGCTCGATCCACGTCCATGCTGCTCCAGGTCTGGGAGGTCCGGACTCAAGTCACATCCGAGTTACACGTGTCAGGCGAAAGGTACTGCGGAGCCACCTGTGCTTTGCTGATTGGACAGGACAATTCTGGCGGAAGACTGTGACGTCATATCAGACGTGTACGGCGGCGTTCCGGTCTCTAATTTATCCAATCATATGTGGAAGTGGCCCTCATAAACTTTACGGAAAAAGTAAACGTTTTAAAATCAATCAATGTACTTGCAATCTTCGACACCGGCGTACGGACGAGGGAACTGCGCCAGCCAAACACTGCATATGAATTGCGGGGGCCAAATTATTTCTAAATTTCAAACCGCGGCTTCCCACCGGGCCCTATGGTCTTGCTGACACTGTGACAGTGCCCATGGCGTGCGGCATATGGGGGCGGTACACGTGTAGCGGATGTACAGAGCGGCACAGAGACAGGGCACCAACAAAACTGACCACACACGGCTTGACTCGCCTCTACGCCCGATCCAATTCCACTAAAACAGACACCATTCCTCCCTTCAAATTCATTCCGCTGCCCACTCTCCCACATAATCATTTCTTTCCGTCCCCCCCCTTCTCGCTTTCCGAGTACTCCTACATCAGCCAGTTCAAAAGCCGACCCCCTTCCCTCCTGCTCCTCTCACCTTCACCAAGCAAAATTTTGCACATTCCTCCGAGACCACCCTCCCCCCAAAAAGACTACCGAAAAATGGTCTCCACTCCCTGCCAGGATGGTCTCAAGATCTGCTGCATTGGCGCTGGCTACGTCGGCGGGCCGGTACGTTCTCTTTCACACGCGTTGTCCCACGCATTAACCACTCATCTATTCTGTGTTTCTAACGTCGACCCCACTCTCCATGCCCCACCATCTAGACCATGTCCGTCATAGCCCTCAAGTGCCCCGAGATCACTGTCAACATTGTCGACATCTCGGAGCCGCGCATCGCTGCCTGGAACAGCGACAACCTCCCCATCTACGAGCCCGGTCTAGACAAGGTTGTCAAGGCCTGCCGCGGCCGAAACCTCTTCTTCACCACCCAGGTCGACCAGTGCATCAAGGAGGCCGACATCATCTTTGTCGCCGTCAACACCCCGACCAAGAAAGTCGGCATTGGCGCCGGCCGCGCCGCAGACCTCACTTACTGGGAGCTCGCCGCCCGCCGCATCGCTCAGGTCGCGGAAACCCCTAAGATTGTCGTCGAGAAGAGCACCGTCCCCATCAAGACCGCGGAGGCCATTTCTGCCGTCTTACACGGCGCGGGCAAGACCCAGTTTTCTGTTTTGAGCAACCCGGAGTTTCTCGCAGAAGGAACCGCCATCGAGGATCTCGACGCCCCGGATCGCGTACTCATTGGAAGTACCTTGTGTGAAGAAGGCAGCAAGGCCTCTCAGACTTTGGCTGATGTCTACGCTCACTGGGTTCCGCGTGAGAAGATTTTGCAGACCAACGTCTGGTCTTCCGAGCTCTCCAAGCTCGTTGCCAACTCGTTTTTGGCTCAGCGTGTCTCCTCCATCAACGCCGTCTCGGCTATCTGCGAGGCTTCTGGAGCTGATGTGGATGAGGTTGCTCGAGCTGTCGGTATGGATACCCGTATCGGTCCCAAGTTTATGAAAGCCTCAGTCGGCTTTGGTGGCTCATGCTTCCAGAAGGATATTCTCAACCTTGTCTATCTGTGCGAGTCAATGGGGCTTCCGGAGGTTGCCCACTACTTCCATCAAGTTGTCCAGATGAATGATCTGCAGAAGGAGCGCTTTGTGTCGCGCATTATTCATGGCCTGTTCAACACGATCACAGGCAAGAAGATTGCGCTTCTTGGGTTTGCCTTCAAGAAGGACACTGGCGATACGCGTGAGTCGGCCGCTATTGAAATTTGTCGCCGTTTCATCGAGGAGAAGGCGCAGATCGCCATCTACGATCCCAAGGTCGAGGAGGAGCAGATTTGGAGTGATTTGACCGGGGCCTGTCAAATGGACAAGATAGAAGTGCAAAAGTATGTCACCTTGTGCCCTGACGCTATCACCGCATGCGACAATGCTCATGCGATGGCTGTCGTAACCGAGTGGGATGAATTCAAGGATATCAATTACAACAAGGTGTTTGAGAAGATGATCAAGCCGTCATTTGTTTTTGACGGTCGCAACGTGCTTGATCACGAGCTGCTGCGTAAGATCGGTTTCATTGTGTACGCCATTGGAAAGCCGCTGGACCCCAAACTAAGCACTGCTTAAACGCGTAGAATGTTTTCTTCTCCCTCCAACTAATTCTTTTGACATTTTGACCTAGGATTCTTTTCGGACTCTTCTCGTTCAAAACTCAGTGCCATTCGGAGGCTGCGGTTGCCATAGTCTCACGAAGTGGTTTTCTGGGGCATTGTTTTCTTGCGGCGTTCGTGCCGTCTCCGTGAGCTGCCATAGGTCACGTAGTTTTTTTTTGTTTTCTTTTCGTAGCGGAGTGCTCTAGAAGTGGTACTGATATGTCTTCTACGTGCGTTGCTTTTGCTACTCTTTCCCGTTCGATAAAACTCACAAGACTGATCTGTTTATCCTGTGTCTGGTATCTTTCCTAGCTTGTTGCCTGTATTAAGAGCACGCAAATCGGATTTGAACCGTGGAAGGCCATCTAACGTGTGACTCGGCCCGGGAAGATTCCAAAACGAGGGTGGATTGGAAACTCGAGCTATTGAGCAAAGCGGCAAGATGCATTTTTTTAAGGGGATGATGCCCTTGAAGACCGCAGTTTAGGAAAAGTGGTTCTGTGTTTTTGCGACACGTGGTGTGCGTGAGCGTCCGGTTATGCGAGCGAGCGGCAGCAGTTGCAGACGGAGCACCTGGCTATTGCGGCTGTGTAAATAGAGATGGCCATCCCGTGGGATTATGAGTCTCTGCTGCGTAAAGGGGGGTTGCTGGTGTTGTCGGACAGTGACAAAAAAATCAGACATGCAAAATATTTTGAAAAATATCTCCGACACGGGCCAAGGAGCACCGCCGCGCGTAACGGCGCCAGATAGTGCGCCGTATATCAGAACGACGTGGTTGAAATTAAAGAAAAAATATCTCAATCGATTGCTTACGGCTTTCTACGTATATGTGTGCAACAACCCAAAAATATAAAATAGGCGGACTTTTCTATTTTTTTATTTATTTGCTTGGATGTCCGATCTTAGTGCTCGGTTGAGGTGCAAAAGTGTCCGCGCGCTTCAATCTCACTCCTCTTCTGTGTCCGTGGTTGTTTTCGCCAAGTCCCAGTGGACGACAGGCTGAGAGTGTCCCCGTCGCAAAACATAAAAAATGGTGATTGCTTGACAATTACAAGTACTTTTTCCTTTTAATATTGAGGTTTTTGTCCGACGTCTCCAGCACCCCCCCCCCCTTTAGTTCGTACTCTACGTGTAATAATTGTCAGACGTGGTTGCAAGTCTCGCGACAGGCACTTGTCGAGAATTAGTGATCCGCACACGTGATATCTGACATTTCGGCCGGATCATATCTGGATACTCATCGATCCTCACAACTTGGAAGGATGGAAAAGACGCAAGTAAGCCCAGTGTGGTAAGGCCCCGGTAGATTGTGAGTACGTTGCGTGTGTCGTGCGCGATGGGGGCTTCAGGGTCGCAGCTTCCACTCTGCGGCTCCATCGTCACAGTATGTGCAGATTGCCAACGAAATGCTACATTGAATGCAATCGCACTGGGATCTATATTTTTGACCAAGTGGTGGTATCAGAGTGCACTGAGCTTGTCACGTACCCTTCTGATATCTTCCTCCCGTTCAGGGACAAACGGAGACAACCATCCCCATCTAGTCGGAAACGCCAACCTTTACCCTGAACACATCACGCGGACACCGCCTTGGAGAGAGACGGCTTTCTCGAATGAACAACGCAACGGAAACAACGACAGGTGAAGGTCCATCTGGAGAGAGAGGCAGACCACCTGAAACAGCCTCGGACAAGCTCTCTGTGTCACGGTCGAAGCCCCACAGAACTCCTTTATCGTTAGTATTTCGCTGGTGGCGGATTTGATGGGCTTTGCAGGTCGCAAAGTAAGCCCTCATTAGCATCGTGTCATTTAAGAGTGCGGCTGCATACTTCGGCCAGTTTCGTAACTAACGGCTCCACATCAAAAAGGGATACCTTGTTGAGAATGAAACTTGCAACAAGCTTGTCTTTGAAATGATTACTGAGAGTCCTATCGCCTTCTCTGTCGTCCAGTCGCCGGCAAATCCCCATCGTTCGTGGAATGGCTGTTCTGAAGAATAAGATGACTATCTATCTCCAGAGAGACCATTCAAAGGTAGGTACAAAAAATTGTTTCGAGCTCGCAAGGCATCAATTTGTTTTGAGATCCCACTTGTTTTTGTTTTTTTGTTCTTTTTGATCTTGTCTACGTGGATATGGCTCAGCGACACGACGACCCATGCGGTGGAGACTCATCCTTCTCAAAGCAAGTCTCGAGCCACTGAGTCTTGCCTTGTTTCAGCTGCACGCAGAACACTTCGACAAATGGAGAGCTACTAAATCAGGTTCCCAAGATACATTACATGCACCGTATCGGGGATGCCAGGGTGTAGGCGTTCCACTCCTGGAGAACAACAGGAATATCATTGAAAATTCGCCTTTATCTTGCTCAGTCCTCACAGAGGGTTGCTTGCCAACATTCAGGAGCATTAGTCGTCGTTCCTTGAAACTAACAGAGTCAATGGCACAAACATCACCCTCCATGCGTGACATTTCCCTGAGCTGCTTCCATCGTTTGTCGCTGTTTGTTGGTGAACTTCAAAACGGACCAACAACAACCATTTTTTATAGATTCCTTCGACGTCCGGGCTGCATACCTGTGCTGTTGTGACATGTTACGGCCTGAACGTTTGCAGTCGACATAGAATAACATGCACAAAGAAAATTTATCCATGGGTCCTAGTTCTTTCGCCTTCTTCAAAAAATGGAGTGACCTTGACCTTGAAATATCGTCCTTCCACATCAGGTTTCTGGATGTCTTCTACTTTTTCATGAGCCATATGCTAGTGCCTTCATGTAATGTGCTTGTGTGCAATAAAAGTTGCTCTGCTGTCCGACAGACACGTGTTTTAAATTTCACTGTTGGAAATATACTGGGTCAAAACGTTTTCTGATTCACCTTTCTCCGAAATAGTGCAGTATGCCAGACACCTTTCATGATAGCCCGTGGGCACATAAAGAAGTTTGAGTGACCAGAACACCAACTGGTGGTTTGAGATTGGAGAAGCGAAAAGAACCTTTTCGGTGTGAGGCGATGGTCCGTAGCACAAGCATCAAAGAGAAGCCTTTAATGACAATGTCGGTGAGATGCAAAACACAACGCTCTGAACAAATTTGAGGGAGCAGCATGTCCTTTGCATCACAAACAAGCTTGCCAGATTTCAACTCTAAAGACAAGATATGTGGAAGATGATCTGAAACTATTATTATATGTGGGTCTCTATCATACGGTGCATATTCAAACCCTCTTCTGCAGTAAAGTTGCTCTTTCAAAGCGAGCATGTTCCGAAGACTTTCATCGTTCATATATCAAAGAATGTCCTCAGATCAACCAAGTGCCCAAGAAATAGTGTGAGGTACACCTTTCGTTCATTTAGTACGGTCACAGAGAATATATACAATGCTGTTTTCCTTTAGGCTTAAACAGCGGGACAGTCACTCATGAAAGGCATAGAATACTAAGTTTCGCAATTGAAGCGAGGGTTATCTGAGATAAACTTGGCGCAATTCCGATGAAACAAACTTAGTTTTAGAAGAAATCGTAATGGCCGAGTTAAAAGGCTAGCAAATGGTGATGGTGATGCCAAAGGTGTTTTGTTCCCATCCAGGCAGCAGCACTCAGTTCTGCTAATCCGATACGTTATTGGCAGAAATATGTTGCCCTGTTTTAATAATCATACTGCTCATCGTCCTGCCTTGAGCTACATGCTGCAGAAAACTAGTACTACAACCAGCGTGGAATGTAAGATGCTCGTTGTTTATGAAAAGGTCTCGTGTGTTCAATTATGGGTCAGTAGGATGGCATTCTGAAAAGAAGAACATTAATCAGGCGCAAATAGACGAAACGGGTCTCGAATGGCGTGAAACACCACATTTCAGGACATGAGGAATACGACGTTTTAGAAAGGGGGGTTTCTTCTATCGAAATGCAGTTATTGTTGAGACTTTTCATTCATACCCTGTCTATCCTCGTCTACCCAATAGACCATCTAGCAATCAAGAGACGGTGCGAGTTTCAACTAAGAAGTGAATTAGCGCGCTGCTTTTGATATGGGGCGATCGAAGGAGCTTGTGCCTCAGGATTCGCTGGTTGTCTTCTACTCAATACAATACACTTGTTCATGTCTGGTGCGAAGGACAAAATTTTGGAGGAAAGCTGATACACATGTCTCGTTTTGAATTGATCTTTGTTTACATGGATCACTGGAGCGCTCAAGCTTTTGATCTGATGGTTGCTTTGCACCTTTGGATTCAAGTGTAAAGCTTTTTGCAAACACACACCAGTTAATGTTATGATGCACAACAGACGAGCAAATGAAAGTTTATTTGTTATTTCTTTGGGTTGCTCAGTTTGCCAGTCATGGCAAACGCTACTGTACGTGACAACATTTTCGGTTCACCTTGCGATTCGGCATGCTCACGTAAACCAGTCAGATGTACACGCATGCACTCCAACAACGTTGCGTCTTCTCTTTCTCTCGCTTCAACCAAAATCAGCATCTCCACAATCCCGCTCATGCAAAGATTAAACTTTATGTCCAGCTACAATACGATGCTATGATGCTATGCCGTAGATTCTATGGAGCACCTCAATCTCATGGCCCGGTCACATCGAAAAATGTCTGATGTACACATTGCATTCAAGCGTTAAACGCCTCTTGTTTGTCAGCGGAAGAATACAGTCCGGCTACTTATCCCTTGCGTGTTTTCTCTCTATGCTCGATGCAAGATTGAAGGAGCGGTGCTGTTTTAACCTTGGCCCTGATACAAAGCTGTCAACCTCTTACATGTGACCCCACACAACCTATCCTCTCTTTTGTCTCTGCTCTTGCCACGCTTTCGGTGCCATCGGGACTTTGTCACAAAGAAACGCAATGCAAAAGCGTAGATATCTATGCATTTGTTGTTGCTTCGTCTGTTCAGTGCTTGCTTTTCCGCGCAGGCATAGAAACAGCAACTGCAGTGTGACAAGTCTTCGTGCAAGATGCAACCACCCATGTGTCGAGCTCGAATACATTTGCGAATACATGTGCAGGAATCTAATCATGTTGGAGATACAAACTGCGGCTATCGTGACTGCAGCGTCACAGCGCGATGTTTTCCTGCATCTGTTGTCGATACTCCTACAGTGCCCGACAAGGCATTGCCTTGTCGGGCACTACGAAGTTTGCAGTTCTCTCAAGTCAGTTTTGATTTGGCCGCCACAATGGGAAAGGCCACCACACACCCCACCCCTAAATCTGTATTGTTCATCCGCCTCCAAAATATCCGCAATACCATCCAGCTTC